GATTGTTGTTGGGGGCAATATGCTGACTCTGTAAACCGCTTAGAGAGGGCTGAAAGCCCTATGAAGCGGTAGATAAGTCTAACTGCTATTGCTAATTCAGAAAAACAAGTTTTTGTATTCTAGCAACGGCTAACACTGGGGGTAGTCTTTTCTCTTCCTATTCTGAAATACTGTGGGGTCTTTTATGCTGATTCAAGTCCTGTCTGGAGTAATCCTTTTGATTATGGATTGCAGGAAGTCTGAATGTAATTTCCTGCTCAGACATTCTAGCCAGCCATTCAAGCTACAACCTTCTTGCGCTGAAGTGCTTGGACCGATCTGCTCTTCCCGATGCCAGTGGAATTAAATTGGTTTAAATCGAAGCACTTAAGTTTAATTGGGGTGAGGGTTTGGTTTGTGCCTCTTGACAGCCACATATATATGTGACGAGAGTGGTGATGCTGCATTTTCTCAGCTTGCGATCAGTTTCAGTGGGAATGAAAGCTGGAATGGCTTTGAGGGATTGTTCTACTTCGGCCATGTGATTTCCCCTTCCCCCCAGCTATTCATCTTCACTAATAAATAATTTATATCAGCAGAATGCAACAGGACTAGGGAAGAAGAGAGCAGCAATGTCTTTCTCTATCCTTTTGCCTTTAGTTCAAGTTCAATGTTGACCTCTTTAAGATTTTGGGACTTTACCTCTCCATTTCTATAAACTTCATTCTGGCTTTGTGTAGGATCTAAAGCTCTCTACATCTTAGCTTCTGTTCTTTTTTTCATTTCTTTTGCTAATAGTAAAACTGATAAACTATTGCAGAGGCTCTGAGCATGTATTTTAAAAAGGAAAGAGAGGAATTGGGAGATAAAATGAGTTTGAACCAAAACTGTCTGAACTGTCGTAGCGGGTTGCTTTTTCTAATAGCACAGCAGAAAACAGCTACTCCAGGGCCAGAGTGGTAGTAGCATTCCTTTGAGTGGGAACAAGAGTGTTCTTTAAGCTTCTTCCATTCTCCGTTTTCCTGTCATTCACAAGTGCTGTTGGGTGCTTGGTTGGCAAGATTTCACTTTCATTGAAAAGTGGCTGAATACAGCTGGACATTCGCCAAGTGTGAATGGCTGGAAAAAAAATATACGGTCTATTATTTTCAAGCCCATCTTTAAATGAAGGCTTTCTTTTCACTCCCCATTGAGTGAAATGAACTGGGATATGATGGAATCTGAAGATCTTCTCTGAAAACTCTTTATATCCATCCCTCCCCGAGCCTTAAGTTTTTTCTGCTTATTTCATGATGACAGAGAAAATAAAATGTAACAGGAGAACCTTAAGCCGGGGTTGTTATGAGGATCAACATAACCTTGATAGTCTTCGTTTGTCAACTACAATTGGGATTGGCAGTTTGGTCATTGAATGAAGCCATCACTAAGTAAAATATCATGATTTTACTGTTTTACTTTAGCTTTCTTTTGATTTACAGACCCTTAAAAATAAAAAAAATGTGAGGACTGTTGCAAAGTTGCATTTTCATCGGGGTCGTAACAGCAAATGATTGCTAAGCAGTGGTGGGTTTCAAAAACCTACTCTGTGGGTGTGGCCTCCTTTGTGGGAGTGGCTTGCCGGCCATGTGACCTGGTGGGAGTGGCTTGCCCCCCCTGTGTTTTCTTTCTCTCTCTCTCTCTCTCTCTCTCTCTCTCTCTCTCTCTCTCTCTTTCTCTCTCTCTTTCCTTCCTTCCTTG